CTGGAGAACTGGCCCTTCGTTGGCCAGCAGCAGCTCCTGGCATTAGTGACACCAAATAAGCCCCCCAAAACTGCAAGAGTGGAGAGGTTGATGCTCAAATGACCCCAGACTGTCCTCCTCTGGCCAGTGTGCAGCCAGCTGCGGTGGCCAGGGGATGCCCAGGCAAGCTGGGCCTCTTAGCCGTGCCCTTCTCTTGCAGCAGGCTCCCAGGACAGTCTGCTGGAGATCACCTTCCGCTCCAACGCCCTCCCCGTCCTGTGCGACCCGACCACCCCGCAGCCCGAGGACGCGCACCCGCCGTCGCTGGGCCCCAGCTCGGCCTTCCCCAGCAGCATGGGCAGCCCCATAGGTAGGAACGACTGTCTGGTGAAGCTGGAGTGCTACCGCTTCCTGCCGGACTCGGGGCCGCCCGCCCCGGAGCCAGCCCTGGGCAGCCTGGAGCTCATCAAGTTCCGCGAGTCGGGCATCGCCTCCGAGTACGAGTCCAACACGGACGAGAGCGAGGAGCGCGACTCCTGGTCCCAGGAGGAGCCGCCGCGCCTGCTCCACGTGCAGCCCAGGCAGGACCTGGGCGACAGCCTGGAGGACGAGATCGCGGTGTAGGGGTCAGCAGGAGGTGGTGCAGAGCAGCCAGGGCCTGCTGGAGCTGGGGGGGACCCCGGCCGCAGCGCCGTGGCCCTGGCAGGGATGGCACAGCCCAGAGGGAGGGGGGCAGAGGAGGGAGCAGGAGGATTCCAGCGCCCGGTCGGGAGTGTCTGGAGGTGAGGATGGAGCCGTGCCCAGGGTGTGCCGTGCCTCGGCACGTGTGGGCTTGTGCGCTGAGCTGCAGCATCCCTGCTTTGCAGCAGACAGAGCTGACAGCTCCTTGTGCTCCCCCCCGGCCCCGTCTCCCTTCAAACTGTGTGTCAAGGTCAGGCAGAGGTAAGGGACTTCTCCTGGATCAGCCTCTGCTGCTGCTGGGGAAGCAGTGAAGCAGAGGAGGGGTTTTACTGGGGGAATGGGAGAGCAGTCTAGGGCAGTGAGCAGGGACAAGAGGCACTGAGGGGGCAGCTCCAAGGTGGTAAGCAAGGACAGAGCAGCTGGTTTGGCTCTCTGCATGGTGGGCAGGGTGGGGGACAAGTATGGAGCCATGCTAAATGAGGGTTGGTGATGGTGCACTGTCAGAGTGGGTCTGTGAGTGAGAAGTGAGCATTGAGGGACAGTGGGGATGAGCCTGGAAAGGATTTGAAGAGGTGAGATGAGGTTGCACAGGCTGGCCAGGTGCAGGTAGTGGTTGGTAGGGGGATGTGGCACTTTCAGGACAGGGTTTACCTATGCCAAGGCAGATGGAGGGCGTGCAGGCTGTGCAGCAGAGAGGAAGGCACAGCGCAGTGTGGAGCAGGGAGCCAGGGCATGCAGCATCAAGCTGTGGAGTGTCCTCCCCCTCATCATCTAATCCTTTGGCTCCTTGGCGCAGCTGCTAGGTTTCAAAGCCTTTTTCATGCTCTCAAGTCACATTTTCAAGCGCTTCCAATCACTACAAACTGCCTGCTTTGCTTTATAGACAAACCCTCCCATTTCCAAGCAGTTGTTTTGCCCCAGACCAAGGCTGGGAGCTGCAGTGCTGGCACTGGCATCTTCAGGGCTGAGCACACTTCCAGCCTCAATGGGGAGTGAACTGCTGGTGGTGCTTCATCACACCTCTGGTTTGCACCCTCTGGAAAAGTGAATCCAGGATCTCAGGGGTCCCCCACCAGCCCTCGAGACACGTATGGCTGAAAGCCATCTGTGGGGGCCTCCAAGGGACCCAGAGCTTGTTCCTTTTCTGCAAACACTTTTATCACCTGCCTGGTGCTGAGTCTCTAAGAGGCCAAGATTGGAAGGGGTATGAACCAAAGTCCTGATGTCTACCCTGCTTCATGTGGAAGCACTCGATGAGGTGGGGATTTGGCACAGTTGTCTTCCTCCCCATCCTCCCTCCTATCCTGCTTCTGCTTTGCTTTGTTGCTTCCTTGCTGCTCTCACCTTTGCCAGCTCTGTCTCTGCTCAATCTGCCTGCAACTAACCCCTGGCTGACACCACCTCTTGCTCTCCTCCAGGGCTTAGCCTGGCTGCTGAGGAAAGTCCATCACTTCTCTCTGCCCTGGTCCCCTGGGGACTGAGAGCTGCTGAGGAGTGTGTGTGTGAGACCCCTGGGGTCAGCACAAGCTGTGCTGTGCACGCTCCCCCACACAACAGCACTGGGTGGACTCCAAGGTGCTAGAGCGGGAAGGAGAGAAGGACATGTTTCAGTGTCCCCAGCAGTGCCCTGGTGTCCAGGGGAGCTCTGCACCAGCCACAGAGCAGGTAGGGTGGGAGAGGGTGCTCTTTGGCACATGGTGCTCCTGTCCTCCAGGCACCACTGCCTCCCTATGCCCTGTGCCACGCGGCTGTGGGCACGGCTGTGTGCCAGCCCCTGTGCCAGGGACCCGACGTGCCACTGCCAGCTCGCAGCAGTTGGAGCTGAAAGCAAGGGTGCGAGGTTGGTCCAGCTAGGAGGAGGAAGGGAGCATGGCAGCATGCACAAGGCATGGTGCTTACAGGGTAGGGAGGGTTGAGCTTGGACAGGGATTTCCATGTGGGCAGAGAGATCGTTCAGGGGAAGGAGCAGCAGGAGCTCAGCTGTACCCATGGGGCAGGTGAAGGGAGAGCCCAAGAGGAGCAATAACAGGCCAGAGGTCTCTTCCAGGCTGGGTTGCCTCAGGAAGCAGGTTGGAGGAGCCATCTCCTGAGCCCCTGCTGCAGTCCATCCCTGCTGCACACACAGAGCTCAGGCCATGTCCTGTGAGGGGCTGTCAGGACCTGATGTGGCCCCAGGCTGCTGCCCCACGCTCTGCCCACAGGGGACAGGGGCAGGTGCCCCACAGGCCGAGGGGGTGCTGCCGGGGCCGAGTGGGATCCTGCCAGCCTCGTGCTGCACCATGGCTGTACACATGTAAATGACCCCTCCTAAGTCAGTGCTGCCTCCAAGACTCCTCTCTAGCCTCTCACTTTTGTTATGGACCTTGACAGGGGTTTTATAGCTATATTTTTTGTCCTTTCTTTTCCTACAACTGTCATATTACTAACTGTTGAATCTATCTGGGAAGCCAATCTGTCAATGTAAGTGCACTTAACCCTTGGGTGTTGTCATCAGTCAACTGGCTTTTGCTAAATAAATCTTTCTATTTCTCAAGGCTTTCTGTTGTCTCTTTCTTCTCACTGACTCTCTCTTTCTGTACTTCCTTCCCTCTCCATGCTGGGTGCCAGCACCAGCAGTGCATCCTCTGGCCTTGCAGAGACCCCCTCCAACCTAAGTTTCCTCTCCTGTGGGACCCCTGCTTGTGCTAGCCACAGGATGCCCACGAGAGCAAGATGCCCAGAATGTTGCTGGGAGCAAAGGTGTTTCAGTCTTGCCCTTCAGCCGCTGCACAGCACAGGCTTGTCTCAGGGCTTGTCTCAGGGCTGATCCAACAGCTGGAGGGTGCCAGGGACTTCCTGGCATCTGCAGAGCTCCCCGCAGAGATGCAGAGATGCTAATCGGCACTTCCAGGGGCTCGGGAAATTCTTGGCAGCTGGAAAAGGAAAAATAGGGAAGAGCCTCTCTTAAAGGATGGCAGAAGTGTTGTGTAGGCAAAAGCAGGAGCTGACTGCTCCTGACCAATTCATTGTGCTGCTGGCAGGAGTGATGGAGCAGTGCCCTCCCGTGGCTGCTGGGGCTGCACGGACACCGCGGGGGCTGCAGCCTCCTGTGCCTTGAGCTCCTGCTCCCCCAGCACCTCGGGCCTGCAGCAGAACTCCTGGAAGGTGTACCCATCCTAGGAGCTGTGCTGGGTCTGAGTCTTGAGCAGCCATGGTGTGGGGAAGGTGGGGCAGCACAGCGTGCACTGGTGGCCATGCTGGAGCAAGCTGGCACTTAGAAGCAGTGAGTTTGTCCTGGACCATGATGCTGGCTCTGCTGCTGGCCAGCCTGTCCCTCTCAGGGGCTGGAAGTCATCTGAGGAGCCAGAAGAGAGCTCTTCAAGAAGTTGTCAGGCTGCTCACACTCCCGAGAGCTGGTGTCCAGGCTGGAGGAGAAGCTGCCCACGCACTGCTGGGTGGCTCTCTTGGTGCAGATGGAGAGCTGTAGGATGAACCCCAGGGCTGGCAGATGCTGCAGGTGCCGGCAGGCAGCTCGCTTTCAGCAGGACTGTGGGGCCACAGAATGCAGAGGAAAGGGCCTGCAGTGAGTCGGGGGTCCCTGTAAGAGTCCAGCCCACCACAAGGCTGGAGCAGTGCTGGGAACCCTTCCTCTCTGGCTGTGCCATGGGATGGGGAGGTGGTTGTCTCTGTCTCATATGTGCCCCCGGATGCAGAGGTGGAGCTGGGCAGAGGATGCTGATGGGTAGCGAGGCCCCAGAACAGCAGCAGGCTCACCCAGGAACTACTTGGGGCTATCACACAGACCCACTCTGACATGGAGGCAGCCATGGGGGTTTGAGCTGGCACTCCTGGGGGCAGCCCCCACAGCTTCAGGGACTCTTGCTGGGAAGACATGGTGGAGGAATCCAGTGTAGCTCAGAGGTGGGGTTTGATTGCAGAGCCCTTTCCTCTGCAAGCATGTACTGCCACCCACCACAGAGACCCAGCCTGGGCTGAGCTGAGGGATCCATGGTGGGGTGTGCAGTGCAGAGCCCACACCATGGGTGTCCCAAGAGAAGGTGCTGTGACTTCACCAGGGTGTGGCTGGCAAGGGGCTCACCCCCTGTGTGAGTCCCATCTCTTCAGGTAGCATGACATACCTGAGCAGGGGGTTGGCAGCACGCCTCAGCTGGCAGTGTGCAAGGGACAGGCCTCGGCCCTTGCCATTCCCCTGGTAAACGCTTTCTCGCTCTCTCTTTTTCCACAACCTGCTTCCCAAGTGCTTGGTGTCAGGTAAGAGAAGCTCTCTGTGTGTTGGCAGTGCCAGCGTGGGGCCCTGGGCTCACTCCTACCCTCTCTTGCCCCACACTGGTCCCCTGTGCATGCACTGCCCTGTGCGGCCCTGGCATCGCCTGGCTGCCCACAGCCTCTGCAGGGCTGTAGGCACATCCTCCCCATCCCCAAAGCTGTGTTCCCGCAGTGCTGCTGGGCCAGCCCTGCTGGGATCCCCCTGCAGCCTGACTCACATCCTCTCTGTTCCCTTGCCCCCTCCAGTGGACCAGAGCATGTTTGAGAACGCCAGCGCCGGCACGGCACCCACGCCGCGGGCACAGCACGTCCCTGCCGCGGCGGGCGCCGTGCCCCAGCCCTGCCGGCCCGCCGGCAGCCAGCACCTGCGCAACCTGGGCAAGGCCGTGGGCGCCAAGGTGAATGACCTGCTGCGGCGCCGGGAGCCGGCCGGCCTGCCCGCCGTGGGAGCCATGGAGGTGAACGCCAGCGCGGGCGCCGTGCTGGGCGCGGGACAGCCGCCCGCCGAGCACGGGTGAGTGTCCCCGCAGCGAGCGCCCCGTGCCAGCGCCGCGGGCACAGGCTGGAGGGGCCCAGAGTGGGGCTGTATGCAGCTGTCCCTCTGTGCTTGCAGGGCTGTGGCACTGGAGGCCTTTCCCCGGCTGGAGCCCCCGCCCCCCATCACCAAGAAGCGGACGCCGCGCGCCCTGAAGACCCCCCAGGACATGCTCATTGCTCCGCAGCCGGAGGGGACCAGCACCAGGGGTGGCACCGAGGAGCCTCCCGAACCACCCCCAGCTCACCCTGAGCCCACAGAGGAGCAGCCGGGGATGGGGGACCCGTCTCCTCCATCATGCCCTGGTGTCCTCGGTGTGACAGGTGCCCTAGAGCCCAGCGGGGACCAGCCTACCAGTGCCCTACCCGTGCCCGACCTCATCCATAAGGGCAGCCAGGAGAGCCAGTGGCAAGTGGGTGAGAGGGCCACTGAGATGTCAGCCAGCACAGAGAAGCCCTCACGGAGACAGGGGCTGGAGCACGAGTCAGCAGTGAGCACAGGGCGGCCAGAACCACGTGCCTCTGGCTGGGAGGTGGAGGGGGCCCATCCTGACCTACTGTCCTTTGAGTAGCAGTGGGTAGCTGTGACAGGGGTGCCATGGGGGCTGGCTCTCCCAGACTTGTCTCTCACTGCCACTTGCCTTTTCTGGGGTGATTATTTTGGAAAGAGGAAAGTCCTGGAGTGGAACGAGCCATTTGCTGCCCAGTGTGGGCTCTGGGGAGCCATGACAACCTGCTTCTCCCCTGATTCCCAGGAGGGGCACAGCCTGTCCTGCCATGGTTTCTGCAGCCCCATTCTGGCCCCCTATTCACCCTAGTCATGCCAAGCTCCTGTCCTGCCACAGTGCCACTGCCATCCTGTCTGCAGCCAGGAGCCTTGCTGAACCGGGAACCAAGGGGGTGCGTGGGGGTAGAAGTGCCAGCCTGCCCCAAACCCCATTGGCTCTGCTGGAGCGAGCATCTGTGAGCATCCCACATGCACCACACACTTCCCCGTGTCTGCACTGGCTGCCTTGGTCCAGAGGATTTCCCAGCTTTCACCATGTGCTTGCTGAGATACCCCGTCCTGGGTACCAGCAGGCTCACCCAGCCCTGGTGCCAGGAGCCAGGACAGCAGATGTGTCCAGGGCCTTCTCCAGGTGCTGACCTCGTGGTGTTACTCTGCTGAGTGCCATCTCCTTGCACTGGAGCCCCAGATGCACTAGTCCTGGGCTCTGGCAGGATGCAGGGCTGGGCACCTGGGGCTGCACAGCTGCTGGCCAGTGGGCTCTGGCAGGGAGCTGAGCTCACTGTGAGACTCCCTTCCAGCTCCTGCTTGTTTCCTGGTCTCATCCCAGCCACCATGGACAGAGCTGTCCAGGCAGGCAGCCCTCTCCATAAAGGGGAGTCACTGCTCCCCTTTAATTCCTGGGACGGTGGTCTCTGCAAGACTGGGACACACATGGTCCTCTGATACTGCTGTATGAGTGTTTTGCCATGGATTACAGGAGGAGTTAGCCAGCCTGGGGACATCTCTGTCAATGCAAGGCAGCAGCTGTGAGATGGAACTTTTTGCTTAGAGCTTTTATGTACATCCTCACCACAAAGGTGGTTTTCAGAGGAAAAGGTCCAAAGCCCCAGGCTGGGTTGGAGGAACCCAGGAGCTCATGGGTGAGGCTGCTCACAGCTCCTTCTGGGCCATACAGGTGGTTGGGCTGAAGAAATGTCTTCCACCACCCAAAGCCATGCTATCCCGCTGGAGGAAGGAAGCTGTGAGCAGGGATCCCCTCGCCCTGGGAGCAGCCCCCCATGTCCTTGTTGTTGGTGTGGGGATGGCACTGGGGCCCTGCAGCTCTGTGCTCTTGGAAAGCCCTGCTCAAGAGTGAAGGGACGCAGAGTTGCACAGAGCCCATGTTCAGTGCTGAGGTGTCACACACCCTGACAGTGTGATCACGGTGTGCATGGCCACCTGCACCCTCAGCTCCAGGGGTGTGTGTGTGTGCTGCCAGGTCTGCACTGCGGTGTAGGTGTTGATGGAAACCAGGACTTGCAGCCCCTCTCTGAAGAACCGCTATCTTCAATCGCTGTGATCCCAAGGGAACCTTCCCCTTGAGGGTTGTCACTCACAGCCGGTGAGAGTCCAGTCCCTCTATTTATGTTGTCAGGGTGCGTGTGTGTGGTTTGGGACAAGAGATGCAGATTGCACAATAAATTTTTTTGTCTTTTGTACCTACTGATGTGTGGCATTCCCTTGATGGGAGAGGACACCCTGCACGACCCTGGCGCCATCCTGGTGGGGAGCCAGGGGGCGGAAGGGGAATTTGGTGGTGCCCAGACTGGGGTGGAGAACGTGGCTGCCTTGCTGCGCTTGGCACCACCGGGTGATGGCTGGGCTCGGGCACAGGGGACCGGATCCCGGGGATGCTGCGGTAATGGGAGCCCGCCGGTGCCTGGGCCGAGGGGACGAACTCCGAGGCTGTTGGGGGTACTGGAGCCCGGGCTGAGGGGACGGAACTCTGAGGCTGTTGGGGGTACTGGAGCCCGGGCTGAGGGGACGGAACTCCGAGGCTGTTGACGGTACTGGAGCCTGGGCTGAGGGGACGGAACTCTGAGGCTGTTGAGGGTACCGGAGCCCGGGCTGAGGGGACCGGACCTCGGGGCACTGGGGAGACGGGACCCCAGCGGAAGCCCTGGTTGGTGTCTGGGCTGAGGGCGGTGACCCCCACGAGTGCTGAGGGCGCTGGACTCCGCCCGTACCGGGGCAGAGGGCACCGGGCCCGGCTACCGGGGGAGCCGCTGGCTCCCGGGCTGAGGGCCCCGCCCCGCCGAGGGCGGTGCCGCCGCCGTGCCGCCCCGTTTCCGGTGTCATGGCGGCCGGAGCGCGGCGGCGGCCGGGGCTGGGGCCGGGGCCGGTGCCGGGGCAGCGGCGGGGCCGCGGCGGGACGGCGATGTGAGGCGGGACGGCGCCATGTCGGGGTGCGCGTGGGGCGCGGCGCCGCCGCTGCTGGAGGCGCTGGGCCGGCTGTGGGAGGTGCAGGCGCCGCTGGGCAGCGGCTCCTCGGCCTCGGTGTACCGGGTGCGCTGCTGCGGGGATCCCCGGGCGCCCCCCGGCGCCGTCAAGGAGTTCGTGCCGCCCCCGGGGCCGCGGCCCGGGCCCGCTCGCCGCCCCGGCGCCCGCCCGCCCGCCGCCGACTGCGCCGAGTACGGGTTCCGCAAGGAGCGCGCCGCGCTCGAGCAGCTCCGCGGGCACCGCAACATCGGTAACGGCACCCCCGCACCCCTCCCCCGATCCCCCACACCCTGCTCGGGCACCCGCTGTCCCTAGAGCACCCCCAGGGCAGGTTCCCCCTGCCAAACTGGTGTCTCCGGACCGCCCTCGCAGCCAGGGGAGGGAGCTCCCCACTGCTTTGGGAATACAGGCAGCCCCCAGACGCATCCCCAGGCCAGTGTGCCCCTCGGATTGGCACCCCTGGGTGGGCAGATTCCAGGGCCCCTCGCCTGGACACCCCAAAGCAGCTTCCCTGCAGTGAGTGCTCCTGGGTACCCCACCCCTTCCCCGGGTGGGGGCTCTGCAGTGACATCTCCAGGGTGGGCGGGAGAGATGGGCAGAGAGGGTCCCTGCAGGCGGGGTACCCTGGAGCCCTCCTTTGGGCAGGGTGCCAGAGCCCCAGCAAGGACTGGGATCCCTGCGGGACGGCTGTGGGACCGTGTGTTCCCACTGTGCTACAGCTCCAGGGCTGCCTTGCTGGCTGGGAATGGGCCGGGGAAGGGAGGAAGCTGTGTGGCAGAGGTGATTGCTGGAGGTGCCAAAGTTCACCCACCACTGATATTTTTTGTTGGCATGAAATGCTTTTTAATGCCTGGACACACAGACAGCACATGCGTTCCCACTCTGCAAAGGTTGTCTGTCACTGGGTGAGAGTGACAGGTCTCTAAAGAGTGGCACAATGTCCAGTTTGCCCACTGCTCATCCATGTCCCAGAGACTGTCCTGAACAGGAGTGCTCAGCCCTGTCGCTGTAGCAGTGTTGTGGGACCAGCCTGTCCTCTGAAGCTCAGAGGGGTGAAATGCTTTTCCCTTGCTTCTTCCTCCCTGGTTCTCCATCTCTCTGACCATCACCCGTTACAAACCATCCGAGCCGCTGTTGTGGTGAGGAGCAGTGGCAGGTGCTGGCTGCTGTCCTTACCCACGCCTGTCCCCGTGTCTCGTTGTAGTGACGCTCTATGGCGTGTTCACCAACCACTACTCTGCCAACGGCCCGTCCCGCTGTCTGCTCCTGGAGCTGCTGGACATCAGCGTGTCTGAGCTGCTGCTGCACTCCAGCAACCAGGGCTGCTCCATGTGGATGATCCAGCACTGTGCCCGAGATGTCCTGGAAGCCCTGGCTTTCCTGCACCACAAAGGCTATGTGCACGCAGACCTCAAGCCACGCAACATCCTGTGGAGTGCAGAGGAGGAGTGCTTTAAGCTCATTGACTTTGGACTTAGCTTCAAAGAGGGGAATCAGGTTTGGAATGTGCTACTCTTGAGGCAAGATGGCTCTGTGTTGAGTTGTGTGGCTCTGTGGTGTTTTCCAAGTGACCTGATCAGAGTAGGAGCTGAGCTGTTGCTGAGGGTTAACTGGAAAGGCTGAAGTTATGTCTGCCCCAGAGACTGAAGCTGTATTTCCATTCTGCTTGCATGTCTCTGGTTTCTGTTGATGTCTTAGCCTTTGTGCTACAAATTCCAATGTTAATGATGCACTGAGAAAAGTGGTGTCTCAGCTTCCTGGAGAGTTTGCTAGTTTTCATGTGGTCAGACGAGTGGGAGCACCCAGAAATGTAGCATTCCCTTTTATCATCCCTTACCATGTGTTGTAGTAATCCAGGCTTTGCTATCAGCCTCCCTAGCCAAGTGTGTTATCTCTGGCAGTGTCCTTGTGCTTGCCTTTACTTTCACCCTATCTTGAGCAGCCTCCCTTCCTCAGGAAGTCTGGATGTTTGTTTCCCACACGAATCAAAAGTCCGTGGTCTGGTCCTGGGTGGGCAGTGTCTGTTGTACTCTTTGTCCCATTTGCCGGTCTCCTGCTCCTTCTCCTTGCTGTCACTTTTGTTTTGGTGCTACTGAGTTGTTTGTCCTTGCCCATTTTCCTCTCTTCCATGGCTTCTGATGGAAGCAAAGAGCCTCAGGGTATTCTGCTGTTGGCTTGATAGATCTTCCTTTCACTCCTCCCTCTCTCAGTAGCGGCCTGTGAGGAGTCTCAGTAGAGCTTTTCCATCAGGTAACCTTGCAGCACACTTGCCTTTAATCACTGGGTGATAGATGGCAAATTTTTATGTGCCTTCCTACAGTGTCCTGGTCTGTCCTGGTTTGTCCCTATTCCATGCACTTTACCCACTTAGCAGTTTTAATACTTTTTTACTGGTTTACCTGGTATTGACAGCACAGCCCACTGATTGTGAATATCAGGGGGTTGTGTGGGTGACCTATCTCTGAATTCTTTGGTACAGGAGTTGTTTTTAATGTTTGGACTTCTTAACTCCCCCGTGTTGTCTTCAGTTCTCCCACATTCTTGGCTGAGTTTCTGGTGGTAATCTGTTGCTGTCTGTCAGCAAAATACACACTCCTGGTGTCCTGTGTCTAATGCAGGTATTTTTATTTAATTCAAGTCTGTGTTTTGCTGCTTGCTGTGTGAGTTGCCTCATAATATTTGATGGGGTGTTTTATTTGCTTCCGTGGTTTCTTCCAGTCTGCTTTCTTTGGGCTGAGTTTCCTTTGCCCTTTCTCAAAACCACGCTGGTTGTATGTGTGAACCTTCTGACCTTGCTTTGAATGTGCACCAGGTACCAGAGTCCTGTCCCCACCCCTGCCTTGGGCCACAGCCTGCATGCATAATTTCCTTATCTGAGTCAAAGACCATGCTACTTTTATTTATGCCAAGCTTATCCTTACACAAAATTTCGTGCCATTGGTGTTTAACAGGGAATGGTTGTACACAGAGCAAAGTTCCAACCTCTTAGAGCTCTCAAAATGCTTTAGGTAGTAGGAGTGAAATTCCCTCTCTCTTGCTGGTGCCATTGATCACAGTGTTTTCTCTATCTCTAAATGTTTTTTGGGGACTTGCCAAGTTGCTGCTATTGGCATGCTGGAGGTTCTGCTCCCTACTGATAGGAGGAGGGACAAGGATGAGCAATTTGTGTATCATTTTTAAGTTCATAAACCACTTTTGAGCTCTGTTGCTGGAAGATGTCCTCTGTAAACTTTATTTTCAGTCAGAGAACCACGTAATCTTGGTCTGAATATATTCCCATGGTAAGAATTCCTAATCCTGTGCCTTATCCAGGAGGAAGTAGGCTTGCATGTTCTTCTGTCATTCCTTGTGTTGCATCAGTGTGTCTAAAATGAGCCCCCACATGTTAAAAAGACCCAGCAGTTTGTCTTTGGACACTTAGAAGACTTGGCTGGACAAAGCCACAGCTGACTGAGCAGGTACTGCCTGCTAGCAGGAGACTGGACTGGAGCCTTCAGAGCAGCCCCTCTATAATTCCCTCATTTCCTTGGAGCAGGCAGCTCCAGTGTGGGCATTTCCCCTCTCTGTGCCAGCCACAGCAGCTGGGCAGGTGCTGATTGTGCAGCACCTGAGGCTTCAAGGGCAGATGGGAGAGGGGCATGGGAAGTGCCATTGATGATTTCCTTCTCTGAGCATTCCAGCTGCTTGCTTCCAGAGGACATCAGCACTTGAGCAATGTCAGCAGCTCCTGGTGCTCCCTGCTCAGACGGGGCTGTGTGTGCTCTCAGGCAGCCCATGTGGGAGCACATTGTGGGTGTTCAACCCTTATTCCAAAATTTCTAGCATCATCTGCATGTAGGAGAGGTTAAAGGGCCAGTCCACAGGGACACCCAGCCCCTTCCTCCCAGCAGTGCTGTGTGTCCCAGCACTAACCACATGTTAGTGCTGCTTTGCTGGGAGATGTTTTTCTTCCAGACAGTCCTGCTTTTCCCTCAGCACAGCAGTGTAGGGAGCTGAACTGCCTGCCTTGCACAACTGGCTCTACAATGCTTTCTGTCAATTTAGCAGTAGTATTTTGGAGACCCCTTTGGAAGGATATCAGAACTGATTTAAGGAGAGAGTGGAGAACCTGAGTGTGGAAAATCAACTTTTCCCCTGTGTTTTGTCTCCTGTAGGATGTGAAATACATTCAAACAGACGGGTATCGGGCTCCAGAGGCAGAGCTGCAGAACTGCCTGGCACAGGCAGGGCTCCAGAGTGAGACAGAGTGTACCTCTGCTGTGGATCTGTGGAGCCTGGGAATCGTTTTACTGGAAATGTTCTCAGGAATGAAACTGAAACATACAGTCCAATCTCAGGAATGGAAGGTGAGACAGTTCTTGCTTGCACCAAATGAATCTTTCTGCCTTGTTCATAATCTGGATTTGTGAGGTAGCACCTGGCAACTAGGTAGTGTTTCCAGGATGTTTATGTAATCCTATTGTCTTGAGAATTAAGATTCCTGAGCCTTAAAGACTCACCTGCCCCGTGGGGCTGGCTTGTCTAAATGCTGCTTGTGTTCAGGTTATGAAATAGGGGTGTTCCAGGAGTCTCTGTTTGGAGCCTGGGTCTTGCCCAGATTTGGTAGGCAAGCTGTGCTGGCTGTAGTTGTGGCATAGGAGGAAGAATAAAACCAATGCCTGATGACTGTCAGCTAATTCAGCAGCACAATGGCAGAGGAAAATTATTTGCTGGCTTTAGTTTAATGTTAGCTGTAATTTGGGGATCTTCTTGTAAGTTTGTATCCTGAGAAAACAAGAGGAAAGCTCTGTATTGTGAGCCTGGAACCTGCCTGTCCTCTGTTCTGAGTGAAATAACTTTTTGTGCTCCTCTTCCCAAAAGGAGTATCCTTTCAGCATCAGAATCTCCACAGCAACAGAAAAGTTTCTTGCATGTGGAAATTTCCAGCTTTTGCTGGCAAATGGGAAAAAGCTGATTTGATGTGAGCCTGCTAGTTTAACGTGTGAGGCTTGGGCATTGGGGATCTCTCACAAAACCCCAGAGAGCCACAGCCCACTGCATCCACTCTGCAAAACGATGGGATATTGCAAGCTTTGCACAGTCTGGTTTTACCTCCCTAATCACTGTTTCTTTTTCTTCCCAGACAAACAGTTCTGCCATCATTGATCGCATATTTGCCAGTGAGGGGGTGGTTAATTCAGCCATTCCAGCTTATCACCTCAGAGACCTTATCAAAAGGTACCGCAGCATATTTGATAACTGTTGCTTAGGGATGTGCTCTGTAAAGTCATGCCTTGCTCTTAAGCTGTGAGCCCACACCTAACACTTCCTTTCCTTTCCTTTCCTTTCCTTTCCTTTCCTTCCCTTCCCGAACCTTCCCGGAACCTTCCCGGAACCTTCCCGGAACCTTCCCGGAACCTTCCCTTCCCGGAACCTTCCCTTCCCTTCCCTTCCATTCCCATCCATTCCCTTTCCTTCCCTTCCCTTCCCTTCCATTCCCATCCATTCCCTTTCCTTCCCTTTCCTCCCCTTTCCTCCCCTCCCCTTCCCGGAACCTTCCCGGAACCTTTCCTCCCCTTTCCTCCCCTTGCCTCCCCTTTCCTCCCCTTGCCTCCCCTTGCCTCCCCTTTCCTCCCCTTTCCTCCCCTTTCCTCCCCTTGCCTCCCCTTGCCTCCCCTTGCCTCCCCTTGCCTCCCCTTGCCTCCCCTTGCCTCCCCTTGCCTCCCCTTTCCTTTTTTTGCCTCCCCTTTCCTTTTTTTGCCTCCCCTTCCCCTTTTTTCCTCCCCTCCCCTTTTCCTCTCCCCCTGTGCTGGTAACAAGTGCAAGCATTAGCAGAGATGTTTCAGTTCCTCTGATTTTGGCACAATTTGGAGTGAGCACATAGAGAGTGTCAGTCATGATGTTGATCATTTGCTGTTTCAGTGCTTTGCACTTGCAGCTGAGAGATTGTGTTTGGAGAAAACTGCAGACTTTGCTGCTTTTGGGGATTGTTATCATAAAAATGAGGGAGGGGGCAGAAAGTGCTGCTCTCCACTGCCGCCAAGATTCAAAGGCACTTTTGCAACTCTCCTGAGGAGTCTGCCAGGGGGGTTGTTTTCACTGTCTTGTAACTGTGCTCTGAGGTACAGAGGGAAGAAGATACAACTTGGCACAAATAGCATTAGGAGCCCCTGGAAAAGCCAAGTTAGGGGTATTGTCAGGCAAGCTCTGGGTTATTAGCTGCTTTGAACCCCATTTGAGAAAAGATGTGGGAGCACCTTGGAGTGTGATCACTCTCATGAGACTGCATGTATGCCTGAGACGTGGGATGAATGGCCTGAGGATGTGGAGCTGGAACTTGTTGTGCTCCTTGTAGACTTGTTAGTGAGCAGTTCTCAGTATTTGGTGCTGAGGGACATCAGGAAGGAAAGCCTGCTCCTCCATCTACCCAAAATGCTTTCAGGGGATCCTTCTGGTGTGCTTCAGCTGCAAATTGCAAGATGTGCTCCCCACTCTTCTCCTTGTACCATAACCACCCCAAAGATGGGGTGTTCCTCTATGCTGGCTTCCGGCCTGAGGGGAATGTGTCAGTGCAGGAATGTCACATGCATGAACATAAAGGTGTCTTCTCTTACAGCATGCTTCATTGTGACCAAGGAAAACGAGCCTCTGCTGAGAAGGCTTTATGCAGCCCATTCTTCAGCATTCCCTTTGGTAAGCTGTGCCTATGGCCCCTGCTCAGGACTCTCTCAGCTTGTGCTGGAAGCAGCACAGAAGGCAATTACCTGTTGTTTTTTGGCCTGGCCTCGTTGCTGCTCCTCTGTGGCACTTGCCAGCTCTCCATGGTGCCACAGGAGGGAGGTCAGATGATGCCTGTGCTCTCAGTGCTGCCTTACTCCTGCAGCCCCACAGACTGTCACTTTTTCCTAGCTGGACTCTGATTAAACTCTGTCTCCCAGAGGGTATTGGCAGCACATTCATCTGAGGGCACAGAAATAACCAGGATATTTACCTAACATTCTGACTGTTGAGGTGCATTTGAAGAGTGCAGTGCTGTTTATGGTGAGTGGATGGCTTTTCTTACACCAACTGTTTCCCAGTTCAGAAATCTCCAGGAATGTGAGCACCTTGGGCATGGGCTGGTGGTGGCATCTGCTGCTGCCTCTGCACAGGGGGTTTGTGGTGGCAGCCTGGTTCTGCAGTGACTGCCTGCAGTAACCTGGGTGGCACATCATGGACAGATGTCCCTGTGGCTTTCATCTAATGCTGTCCCTTAGATTTAGTAAAATAGTGGTGTTTCCTCAAGACCTCCCCATGTGTGTTGCAGGCAGTCAGCAAAGGTGGGCTGAGACCTCCCTGTTCAGGTTTGTGTCCTTCCCTGTTTTCTGGTCCAGATGCAACTGAGTAGCATTCTCCAGAGCTTGTCTGCCTTCAGGAGCGCCAGTGAGGAGCTGTGCATCCAGCTTTTCTGAAGCCTGAATTAATGCTGCAGCATGAGCTAGCATTTCCCCTTGAATCTTAGCCCTGCTTTTCTTAAGCTCCTTAGTGCACCTTGCAGCCAAGATTATTAAGTATTGCTCCATATAGATACTGGTATTTCTGTATGTCAGGCAAAGGTGACAAACTCATTTCTGTTTCCAAACTTCACATGTGTCTCAGAAGCTGGAGCTGTTCTACTCAGAGCTGCCTTCCATGGCTGAACCTCACAGCCAGCGCTGCTTTGGAGCAGAGGGAATTGTGTGTTGGCAGTGCCCTCTGGGCTGGTTTTAAACACACAGAGCTCTGACTGTACTGAGGAAGGTGCTTCTGTGGTTAGTGCTTGGAGTTTATATAACAGCTTCCATTTTGCTTAGTTCTCTTTGCTGCTTCTTTTCTTTGAAAGACTTGCACATATGCTTGTCTGCACAAAGAAGCATTTACTGCTGCTTTCCTGGCAAGTCAGAAAATGACCTGTCATTGCCTTTCACTTGGACACAGCTTTTCTGTTTAGAGCAAAGACAGCTGAGAATAGCTTTCCTTGTCATATACAGCTAAGTCTTGACTTTCCAGTTCATCAAGTTCTTTCCTGTGTTGTCAGTGTGGTTGGTGTCACCTGTCATTTGCAGAGGAGCTGGGCAGAAAGCACCTCCTAGGGCAGAGGATTGCCAGAAATGGATTTGTCACTTGGGTACAAGAAGACCAGGTGTCTCAGTTCTAGGGGCTGGTTTGTCTCCCTCTCTGGAAAAACTCTCATGAAATGAAGGACAGATTTACTTTTGTGTCTGTCTTTTCTCCCAGGTAGCAAGCGACAGGACAAGAAGAAACAGCCTCAGGTTGTCCTGGAGGAGATTTAGATTGGTTGTTAGGAAAAATTTCTTCAGGGTAAGGGTTTTCAGACATTGGAACAGGCTGCCCATAGAAGTGGTGGAGTCACCATGCCCATTAAAAGATGTGTAGATGTGGCACATCTGGGGACATTGTTTAGTGGGGAGCTTGGCCATGCCAGGTTGGAGTTCATCATTTAAAAGGTCTTTTCCAACCTAAACGATTCTATGATTCTGCAAATAAAAGGAGTAACATATAAGACCATGGTGGCACTTAAATGTTCTTTCAGTCTTCAGTTCATCTGATGTGTCTTGGTTGCAGATAATCCTAGTGGTGCACTAGGAGCTGGAATGTGCCTGGTTGTGTGAAGACAGCACCTTTCTTCAAAGGGCTGCCCCTGAGAGCTGTCTGGGCATCATCTGCACTGATAAGGCCTTTAATACTCTGAGCTTTTCCTGAGGGCTCTTCCATGACAGGCAGGGGATTTACAGCTTCTGTGCTTGCCTTGCATCTCTTCCTGCCCTGTGAGATCAACATCTGACTGTGCCTGGCAGAGATGTCAGCTTCCTCACAGGCATTGTGTGCTTAGCTGGGGAAAGTATTTCCTAGAAAATAACAGCTCACTTTGCAGCCATGGTCAGAAGGCTCAGACTGGAGAGATGAAACCATTTTCCTTTTCTCTCCCCCTCTCACTGTAAAGTGGCAGAGCTGTGAGGTCCTGCTATTATGTTCAGCTGCAGTAGCTCCCAAAACAAATAAACACATCAACATTCTCCAAGTACTGCAAGTTGGGTGCCCAGATCTTAAATTCATTAATGGCCTGTCACTAGTGAACAGGAACATGAAATCAAGCTTTTTTTCTGCAGAAGTGACACTGTCCCTGTGGCTTTGGGTTTCTAGAGGGATGATTATCCTCAGAATGTGATTGTCATTAGCCTTTTCTCCTTGGCTGTTGCCTTCTCCCACAGTGGCGTCTGTGCTGCCCTGCTCCAGGCCATCCTGGAGCTGCTTGTTTTCTAGAGCCAAGTGCCCCATGTCCAGCACCCAGAGGGTTTTATTTCTGCTCCTGTGAATTCCTTCAAGGATCACTGCTCACACACCTTGTGGCCATGCCCAATTCTACACCATTGCATTGTTTAAGCAGCTGAAGTAGGGTGCTCTTCAAAACAGTGCATTGCAGTTGGATTTTGAGGGGAGGGAGGTTTATGTGGCGTTCAGGGAAGAACTAAAAGATATTCTAAGGAGATATGAGGCCTGTGCCTTAGTTCAGCTGAGTAATTGGAATTAGGGAAGCTGGCCAGCCTGCTTTCAGCTCATCTGGGAGCAGTGACAGGAGAGGCAGTTGCAGAATATTCCTTTGATCTTCTCACATCTCCATACATATGTGGGGTAGTTTGTTCAACTAGCACAGTTCTTGAGGTCACATCAGTTTCTGAGACTGGGCTAAGCAGACACAATTCTAGCTTTAATTTGAAAAGCAATTTCAGATGCTAGCATCAGAATAATTGCAGAGTGCACTGAACCCATTGGAAGAGTCTCTCAGTTCACAGGTAAAGATAAGATGGAAATGGAGAATTCAGACTATAAATGCAGTTAATAGTGGAGACAAGCAAAACCGTTCTGCAGAGAGCAGTAAGTGCTTGAGTATCACAATGTGTATTGAGTCATCTTCCTCTTTGCTTGCCCCTTTGACATTGACTTTGTTTCTTTAATTCTGTGGGTGTCAAACAGCTCCCCATATTGAAGACTTGGTGATGCTCCCCACACCTGTGCTGAGGCTGCTGAATGTTCTAAGTGATGCTTCTCTGCAGTGTGAAGAGGAATATGAAGGTTGGTGCAATTCCCATATAGCAGTGTTATCTTACAGACTGTTTTCTGTGGCTGTGGGCATGTAAGAGCAAGCAGGTGACCAGTTCATTGGCACAAGAACAGCAAACAGAGCTGCCCAGCTGAGCAGCTTCGGTTGCGAGGGGTCAACTGCACCAACAGAGAATAGACTGAGATTGAGAGAGAAAGCAGAGTTTGTAGGGAATTCTTGAAGAATCCCAGATTAAAAAAAAAAATAATTCTTTTCTTCTTTGGTTAGATGCCCACCGAATTCACAGTGTGTTTGTGGCTCTGAGCTTCTGCTGGATATGTACAGGACTCGGAAGCCCAATAGCAGAGATGCTTAAAAATTTGCTAATGAACTTAGCCAAGATCTCAGCAGAGAGCTAAAATTTAGCCAAGATCTCAGCAGAGAGCTAAAATTTCTCACTGGAGTTCCCAAAGCGTGGTGGGTGGCAGGCAGGGTGCTGACCCCACGGAGTGGGATTTGTGTTTCTGCATGCTGTCAGATCCCCGTGAGTGACACAAACCAGAGGGGACACGAGCTGAAAGGCCCAGTTCTGCTCACACAAAGGGGGATTGTGCCAGCTCCTTCACTCCCCTCCTCCAAGTGCCATAGCAGCACTCCTAAATCCCCAGTGCTTTAGCTGCTGGAACCTGCTGCTGGAGGTTCATGTCTGTGGGTCTGTGTTCCTGAGCCTCACTTCACACACTTCCATCTCATTACCTGGCCGTTAATCAGTGTCGGCTTCTGCTGCCACCTGGTGCTTGTTTATTTTAAATTGAGAGGGAAGGAATATTTGTTGTCCAGGTGTTGTTGATGTGTTCATCTCGCCTTTGCTTGTTTCTTGGCTCACCGTGGTTTGCAAAGTGAAAGACAACAGCTCTTTCCTTTCCCAGATATCCTGGAGGACATAAGGGAGGAGTGTCAGAAATACGGACCAGTGGTTTCCTTGCTTATTCCAAAGGAGAATCCTGGTAAAGGCCAAGTAAGTGAATGGGGGGAAGAAGCTGTGTGTTCTGTGTACACTCCATGTGCTGCAGGACTGCTGCTCAGGGCCTGGAAATCTCCTGGCTGATGGCAGTGCTAAAAATAAATGGCTGTTTTGAGGGACAGCAAAGCTTCCTTCCTGGTTATGTAAGGTTACCTAACCTGGGAGGTGCCCAGTCAGCTTTAGCATGAATGGAAGGAATGAAGAGGAGAAGCCAATGGCTGGGAGAGGAATTGTTGAGGGTATAGATCACCAGCATACTTTCTCCCACCTTACTAAATGGAGGAGCAGGAGATGAAATCCCAGTTTGGAGATTCAACTCTTAGCTTCAGTGCTCTCTGCTCAACCAAGGATGGAGGGGAAAAAATTGTTTTGGAATGTTTCCCCCATTGCAGAGGCGGGAGGGGGCAGGTGGCATGGTGCACTGGAAGTCCTACTTCTCCTCTCTCTCTTTCAGGTCTTTGTTGAATATGCAAATGCTGGTGATTCCAAAGCTGCCCAAAAAATGCTGACTGGAAAGATTTTTGATGGCAAGTTTGTTGTGGCTACGTTTTACCCACTGAGTGCCTATAAGAGAGGATATCTGTACCAAAACTTGCTGTAGGCAGTAGCAACAATCAGGAGAGTTGTCTTGCTCCTCTTCCTCACGTGTTTTACAGTTGAATGTGTAAAAGAGCTTCCTAGCCCTGCTTCCGACATCTGTGAAGGAGAGGTGCAAAGGACTTGAATGGGCTTTGAAACTTTTCTGCTGCTTTGTGATGTGCTGAGGAGGCCGGGCCGCTTTCGGCTGCTTGTGTGTGTGCTGTGCTTGCTCATTTACAGGGGTGTGGCTCTGCCCGGGGGCGGTAGGGGCACAGGGGCAGATCCTGGCCACGGCTTCTCAGTGATTGGAAGTGAGACCCCGGTCTTGGCCTTAGCGCTGGCCTTGGCTCCGGGGAGAGCATTTCTGTGTTAAGCTCTCCTGTAACCAAATCCTCTTCTCCCGTGTTGGAGGAGGAGGAAGGCTTGCCTGCTTTTTGTTGATACTGTTATAAATAAAGCAGCAGAAACACCATCCTCTCTAAACCAGACCAGGAGGACTTTTGAGTCTTCTCCTGACATAGAGCAGAGAGAGGCACTGAAATTGGATCTGCTGAGCTTGTGGGGTTGCCCTGTCCTCGTGACTGAGCAGAGCCGTGCTGGGCTGGGCAGTGACGTGTGGGTGATGCCCGTGGGGAGCTGAGCTTGCTTGTATGCCTGGGACTGATGGTGGAGACCTGGTCAGAGCAGTGCCAGCCCCAGTCCCAACACAACCTGTAAGCACTTTGTAGCCTGAGTAGATGTGAAAACCCCGCCGTGTGGATTCATCTTTGTAGCACAGACCCTGTGCTGGCACTGATGCTCCCTAGCTCTGATGCCAAATCATCTGTGATATGTAAGCTCTTTGGCTGATATTTTTGGAAAGGAGTGCTACAGCACACAGTATTCTTTGTATCACAGCAGGACTCCTGCCTTGGGAGTCTTATAAGAACAAATATTTGTCCGTTGTAGGTCCCACGCTTGGCTTTTCTGTGTTGTGCATTTTGGTTTTGCATTAACCCATTAAGACTTGTAGATTAGAAGCACTGACACTTTTGGTCCTTCCAAGGTTACAAAAAGGGCTTGAGGCAATCTGAGATCCTGTATGGAAAGGGCTTAAGCAGTCACCAGACTGGACTGGCCAGGAGAAGGTCTTTCACAGTGTCAGGGACAGCAGCCACATGCCTTTGGGGAAGACACTGTGGTGAGCAGCGTCACTCCCCCAGAGCACACTCTGCTCAGTCAGCTGCTGCCACGAGACAGGCAGAGGCTGTTTGCCACGGATTCCCAAACCCATGCACCCAGCAGAGCCTCTCCTTCAGGGTGGGCAGTCTGCTCCTGATGGGCACAGTGTGAAACAGCCCTGTTCAGAGAGTCACCAGTGTATTCTGGCTTGTGGTCTTGGTCCCAGTTTTAGTGAGGAGGAAAGCCCTCCTGAATTCTTTTCTTTAGACAAAATACTTGCAACAGCTGCCTGAACCATCCCTGACCTTCCCTGGAATAATACCTGAATTACCTTGCAGTTTACTGTTTGCATCTTGCTCATGCTGGACTTGATGGAATCCTACACTTAAAAAGTTCCTCTTGATTTTTGCCCTGTGCGTGGTGTGTCAGGAGATGCAATGTCTGTAGCATTTCATGAGTCTGAGTTGCTCTCTGTGCTGGTGTATAGTGCTGTCTACTGTGGCCCTTACCAAACTCCCTCAGAAAGGACCAATCTCTGAATTCTTCTGTTGCCTTTGGGATGGTGGGCTTGCCAGGGAAAAGAAAAAAAATAAAATCCCACAATGAGTTTTAAGGTGTGATTTGCTGATCAGATTTCTCTGGGAATGATGCTGCTTTAGTGTACATAGCTGTTCAGCAGCCTTTGCCTAGGTGGGGTGTGTGATTCATTGCTTTTAATTTAATTGTCCTTTGAGTGAAGCACCTTTTAGTGTCTGGGAGGAACTGAGTGGTCACTGGGTGAGGGTTTTTCCTGTGTGGAGAGCAGTGTTTAAAGTCTGGCTGGGTCTTGGCTGCCCTCCTCAGCTCTGCAGTGCTGCTGTCCCTGCGGGTTGAGCCGGGGGTCAGAGCGCTTTGGTGCAGACATGCATGTGTGGAATGCCACCCTGGCAGCAGCACTGAGCTGGCAGGAACAGACCCCAGAGCTGCTGCCCTGCTGAGTGCCAGCCCAGTGGGGCCCCAGGGAGCTCCCCTGGCTGCAGGGTGTGAGCTCTGTCACGGACAGCAGCACTGGGACAGGGAGATGCTGGGATGCGGGTATGGGACTTGAATGTGTTCGGAGTTCTCACAGCATTTGTCTAGGACTGTGAGCTGCTCTGTCATCTTTCAAGCATGACTTTTTCAGTCACAATTCTTTTAATTAGAGATAGAGCTGGGCCAGGATTGATCTTCAGAGGGGAGCTACAGCCTATTCCTGCAGCATGGCAGCTCTTCCACCAGAGTTTGGCTGGGGTTTTGTACAGCTTCTTTAACAGGGGCTAAATAAATCCTCCTGATGCAAACTCCTGCTACCAGACATTTTTCTCCAGATGTTCATTGACCAGGCTTGAGCACTGAGCTGGGTAAAAAAGCCCAAAGCTGCTTTTCTTTATATTCCTCCTGGCAAGAGCTGAAGATGTTGATCTCTGTCCTGTCACTGGATCCACCCTTCTGCAGGCTGTGGGGTACAAGAAGGTTTAGAAGCATTTAGAAGCATTGTTACTCCTCATGCTCTGCCTTCAAAGACTTTGGCTATCAAGATGAAGCTCACTCTGGTGTCTCAGTGACTGTTGGTGTCTTGGCACAAGTTTTAACCCTGCTAAAACCTTTGAGTTCCTTAACTCTAGATTGTATCTGAAGTGTGCATGCTGATCAGTCCAAGGCGCCTGTTGTGGTGTGTCTGGGATGGGCCTGGCTTTCCTCATCTCCAGATTACTGCTTGCTTGAGGTGCCCAAGTGTTGAGGCTTTCCCCTCAGATGCTCTCTGAGGTTCCAGGTCTGTGCTGCTGCCCCCAATAACCCTCGGTGTAGCACCGACCTACATAGTCCTACCCTAGTTGTAGGGTACCTGGTGTTTAAATCACTGGCCAAAGCACAAGTCAGCTCCAATCTTAGCTGTATTCCTAATTTTATTCTCACTGGTCTTCAGCCTCGTAACAAGGTAGCCTGAGCTCGGTGTTGTAGCCAGGTTCTTTCCAGAGGGTTCAGTACACTTCCTGCTGCCGTGCCGGATCCTGTAACCACGTGCCTCCCTTCGGGTTAGATGTCAATTGTTGTATCCGTCACGCACCATTGCTGAGCAGATGTGTGCTTGGTACAGGTGATTAATAAACCATGCTTCAGTACGAGCTGCTTGTCCAGCGTGCCCTTCTTCTGGGACACTGAGATGTGCGTGTGGCTGAGCAAGTTCTGTCACCGAGCAGCAGGGCCTCGGTGTGGGGGACAGGAGTGTGACCCAGCCATGGCAGCGCTGGTATTTGTGCTTGGAGACCGTGGCTGTCAGAGCTCCTTCCAGTTCCAGTCAGGGGTGGTCATAGCTGTGGGATGGAGGGGGCTGTTAACATCATTATTGGGCTTTAATGAAGGAGGGGAATTTCACCACAGCTGTTGGCTCAGCAGCAGGCATCTTTCCCTTTCTCCTGTGGTTGACAGAGGATATGCAAAGTATCACCTGCTAAGTACTATCGAGTTCCCCTTCCCTGCGAGGATTTCCACAGTCTGTCTCCACTCTGCTTCCCCACTGCACTCCATCCCCCTTAGCATGTGTCTGTATGGGAAATCAGCTTGGAATACATTTCAGTTCATGCCAACTGCATTCCATCCAGGGAGCAGTAACTGTGATTGTAATTTCCTTACTGTTATAACTCCTGTTAGGCACTAATAAAAATCTTCACCTTTCTCTAACTGTACTCCTAGTTAGCTGTCCACAGCGTCCCCGGGCAGCCTTCCCCAGCCCCACACGCGGGGGTGGCCTCTGCCTGGCCGGAGCCCGCCGTGTGGGCACTCGGGGCTCGGCGTCCTGCGGCAGCCCCGCTTCCCCACGCCCCACGCTGGCCTGGGGGTTCCCCGAACGCTGCTGCCCACAGGCCCTAACAGAGCCGCTGCTAACGCCGGCCGGCCCGGGGAGCTGCGGCTTGCACAAGGCCCGGGGCCGCTGCCGACGCGCCGGGTGAGCAGTGCTTTGGCTGCAGCCCGCCCTGACGCTGGCCCGTCCCGGCACCGAGCCCGGCAGAGCTCCAGGGGCGTTTGGGGCAGGGTATGGCTGCCGGGGCGCCCTGTGCAGGCTCCGTGTCCCGGAGGGTCCCTTCCGACTCAGCGCATGCTGTCATTCCGGGACAGCACGCGGCCCGATGACGGCAGGGGCGCGGTGTGTCATCGCTGCTGACGCCGGGAGGCTCCCGGGCCGGCGGGGCTGACTCCGGCGCATTTTGGGCCGCGTTTGGGGCTTTTCCCTCCCCTCTCGCCGCCCCCGAGCCCGCCGGGGCCGCGCGCTGACGTGGCTCACGTTGCCATGGCAGCCAGCGGCGCGCGCCCCCGCCGGCGCGGCAGCGGCAGCTCCGATTGGCGGGGGCGCCGCGAGGGGGGCGGGCGGTGCCGCCCCTCCCCCGGTGCCCATTGGGCGAGCGGCGCGCACCACGTGGCGCGGGCCCCGGCCATTGGCCGGCGGGGAGCTATAAAGGGCGGCGGCGGGCGGCGGCGGCCCCGCGGCGGCGGGCGGGATGGAGGCGGTCGGGGCTGAGGGGGATGTGGCGGCGGAGCTGCGGCAGCGGCTGGCGGCGGGCGGCCAGGACCATGTGCTGCGCTTCTGGCCCGAGCTGGACGGCGCGGCCCGCCGGGCGCTGGCGGCCGAGCTGTGCCGCATGGACGTGGCCGAGATCAACCGCTTCTTCCGCCGCGCCCGCGGGGACGGCGGCGGGGCGGCGGCGGCGGCGGCAGGGCTGGATGCGCGCATGGAGCCGGTGCCGCGGGACGTGCTGGGCAGCGCCTCCCGCGACCGCGGGCTGGTGCCGCGCTGGGAGAGCCGCGGTAGGTGCGCGGGGCGGCGGGGCGCGGCGCGGCGCGGAGCCGGCGCGGAGGGCCCCACGCGTGTCTGCTCCCCCAGGGCTGGCGGAGATCGCGGCGAGCCGCGTGGCCGTACTGCTGCTGGCCGGCGGGCAGGGCACCCGCCTCGGCGTCCCCTACCCCAAGGGCATGTGCGACGTGGGGCTGCCTTCCCGCAAGACCCTCTTCCACCTCCAGGCCCAGCGCCTGCGGCGGCTGCAGCAGATGGCGGAGGAGCAGCACGGCACTCCGTGCCACATCCCCTGGTGAGCCCCGGCCTCGGGGGGACACGGCCCGCGGGGTGGTGTCGGAAGGGACCGGCCGGCACTGCTGGGTCCGGGTCCTGTAGATTGGCACAGCCTCTGGGTGTCAGCGGCCCGCGCTGCTCTGGGGTGCTGCAGTTCCCTTTGGCAGCCCCAGGTTAGCCTGGGTTGGTGCAGTTCCCTTTGGCAGCCCCAGGTTAGCCTGGGTGGGTGCAGTTCCCCTGTGCAGCCCGAGGTTAGCTTGGGTTGGTGCAGTTCCCTTTGGCAGCCCCAGGTTAGCCTGGATGGGTGCAGTTCCCTTTGGCAGCCCCAGGTTAGCCTGGGTGGGTGCAGTTCCCCTGTGCAGGCCCTGGGTTGGTGCAGTTCCCTTTGGCAGCCCAAGGGCCATGGACTGGCATAGCCCCTCTTCATGTCAACGTTTTGCAATGGGCATGGCCCCTTAGAGTGAGTCCTTCAAGGCTCAGGGTGGCAGTGGCAGGTCCCACGTTGTCAGACTCAGTCCCACGGCCCTTTGGGAAAGGTTTTCATGTCCCCATGCAGGAGAGCAGCCATGGAGGGTGAGGAGATGAGCTGCTGAGGTGCTTTGTAGACAAGGCAAGAGCTGGCCACTGCAGCTGGGTGTCCCATGCACGGTGTTGTATGGTTTTGGAGATATGTGTTGCAAGGAAGGGTGAAACCCTTCGTTGTCTTGGGACCACAGCAGGTCAGATCCTCCTAAGTGTGGGAGGAAGGGGGAGAGCATGTCCTGGGTGTTCCCCACATTTGGGATGAGGGGTGTGAGATCCTGCCTCTCCTCCCTGCTCATTGGGTGTCTTCTACTCTGCAACAGGTACATTATGACAAGTGGCCGCACTATGGAGTCCACCAAGGAGTTCTTCCAGAAACATCGGTATTTTGGCTTGAAGAAGGAGAATGTCATCTTCTTCCAGCAGGGCATGCTGCCTGCCCTGGGATTCGATGGGAAAATCCTGCTGGAGGAGAAGGGCAAGATTGCCATGGCACCAGGTTGGTGGCCAGGGGTGAGACATGGTGCTGAGGAGCAGCTTTTGGAAGTGCAGTCTTCCCTGTGGCCTGGCCCAGGGCTGACTCAGGCTGGGAGGTGTCCGTGTCTGCCCTGGCAGGGAGGAGCAGGGTGGGGTGTGCTGGGCTGAGGGCCTCCACATGGGCCCGTGGGGAAGGAGGGTGGCCGTGGGCGGCTGACGGACAGTGGGGCGTTCCCTCTGCAGACGGCAACGGGGGCCTGTACCGGGCGCTGGGCTCCCACGGCATTGTGGACGACATGGAGCGGAGGGGCGTGCACAGTGTCCATGTCTACTGTGTGGACAACATCCTGGTGAAGGTGGCTGACCCCAGGTTCATCGGATTCTGCTTGGAGAAGGGAGCAGACTGTGGGGCCAAGGTATGGTTTTGGGAGTAGGCAGGCACTGCTTCTTCAGGGCTGGGTAGGTCTGTCCTGCTCCTTGCCTGGCTTCCCTGACTTTACACCCTTCATTTGCTGGCTTGCCACAACCAGGAGGGATAGCTAAGTACCTGGAGCTCACTGGTGAAGTAACACATGGTGCCACAGTCCTGCCTGCCCCTGGCATCCTGGAGGATGCCTGGCACTGCTCTTCTGCCTTGCACAGGAATATGGCACCAACAGGCCCAGGGCTCGGAGGTCCCCCTGGGGTCAAGAGGCTGCTTGGGAGCCCTGTGTAGCTGCGTGGCACACACCCAGATGCTGGGCAGCTCTTCTCTGGGTGGCTGTGGCTAGCACAGGCAGACAGGATCCCTGCCATAAGCTGCCAGCTGTCCCCAGCCTGACATCCTGGACACCAGACCAGGATGCAGCTGGGTGCAGCTGACACTGAACCCAGCTCCATGTCTTGTGGACAGGAGATTGCACACTTAGAGCTTTACTTAAAGATTGGCTTGACAGCCAAAGGTTCTGTTTGCATTTGGCTTGGCTCTGGCAAACAGGTGAAAGGACTTACTGGTCTTGCAGCTTTCAGAGGGTAAGCTGAGAAAGGGAAGGCAGTTTTCTCCCTTGGCCTGCATGAAAGAAACAGGAAATAAACCTCAGCATAATAAACCTCCTGCAGAAAGGAGAAAGCCCTGTGCCCCTGCATGCAGTGGTGGGTAGGGATTTGCTGGCGTATTTCATAACCCAGAGGGAGGTGTGTGAGGTGCAAGGAGAGGAAGGTCAGGGGGATGTCTCTGCTGAGCCAGCAGCCTTCTGGTTGCGAGCAGCAAGCTGGCTAAAAATATCCGTGCGTGCTGCCAGCTGCACGTTAGCTCGGTGCCACATCCTGCTGTGCCCTCTGGGTGTGTCTGACACCTGTCACCAGCCCTGCCATCCTCTGATCCCCACTGCCAGAAGCACCTGGGAGGGGAGGGCTCCTGCATCGCCAGCCCTGCCCCGTCCCAGCAGAGGAGAAAGCCTTTCTAAGCAGGGCCTGCTCTTTCCAAGGGAGCGTTGGAAGCGTGGGGCTTCGGGTGCCTTTCCCTGACAGCGCTTCCCTCGGCAGGTGGTGGAGAAGACGAACCCCACGGAGCCGGTGGGCGTGGTGTGCCGCGTGGACGGCGTGTACCAGGTGGTGGAGTACAGCGAGATCTCCCTGGGCACTGCCCAGCGGCGCGGCCCCGACGGGCGGCTGCTCTTCAACGCGGGCAACATCGCCAATCACTACTTCACCACTGCCTTCCTCAAAGATGTGGTCAAGTAAGCTGCTGCTGCTGCAGTGCCAGGACAGGAGTGCTGGTGCTGAAGTGCTGCTGCCGGGCAGAGCTGGCTGTGCCTTGCTTGCTGCTGGTTGAGCTCCAGGCGTGCGGGGATGAGGCCCCTGCAGAGCTGGTCTGACCCCCACCTGTCTGCACAGCCCCTTCCTTGAGATAAGGGTTCTCTGGGCCGTATCTGGATGCTGCTTCCAGAGTGCAGGCATGTGGGGCTGTCTCCTGGCTGCCGTGGGGTTGAGCAGCCCGTGCCTTGGGGCAGCCAGGGTCAGAGCAGGGCAGCCACCCTGCTGCAGCCGTGTCTGAGCTGGGGATGTGGCTTGCTCGGAAAGGTGACATCTCTGTCTTGGCCTGTTGCAGCACTTACGAACCACAGCTGCAGCACCACGTGGCTGAGAAGAAGATCCCACATGTGGACATCACTACAGGGCAGCTAGTCCAACCTGAGAAGCCCAATGGGATTAAGATGGAGAAGTTTGTCTTTGACATCTTCCAGTTTTCCAAGTATGTCCTTTGCTCTCCGTGGGGTCCAGGCTGGCTGCTGGCTCTCCCTGGGGAAGCTCCGAGAGCCTCTGGGGTTGTGCCAGGGTGTGCCCACTGGCAATGCCCCGGGATCAGGATAGGATGGCAGCTGGAGGCTTGCTGGGCTGAGCCCTGCTCCTGTGCCAGAGGAACATCTGCTGACCCTATGGGCCAGGGCCTCCCCTCCCTCCTGCACAGCTGTGAAAACAGCCCGTGGGTGTGGGCCCAGCTCAGCCACCCTGGCAGGGGAAGCAGCCACAGTTTCCAAAGCCCACCCTCCCATGCTGTGTTCCCCCAGGAGGTTTGTGGTGTACGAGGTGCTGCGTGAGGATGAGTTCTCCCCCCTGAAGAACGCGGACAGCCAGAACGGCAAGGACAACCCCACCACAGCGCGACACGCCTTGATGTCCCTGCACCACTGCTGGGTTCTCAATGCAGGGGGGCACTTCGTGGATGAAAATGGCACACGCATCCCTGCCATCCCTCGGTGAGTTGCTGCCCCTGTCACTTCTGCTCCTTTTTGGGCTGGATATTAAGCACAAGGCAATCCCAGCACTGATAGCAGTGTCACAGAAGCAGCCAGCTATGCGTGATCCGTGGAGCAGAGCTGGCTGTAAGCTGCGTGGTGACAACAGGAGTGGTGCTCAGCTGGCAGCAGCTTTCCCTCTCAATTCAGCCCCTATGAACTGAATCCTGCCAGCCTCCATTGCACAGCCAAGGTTGCCTCTGCTACAAGGAGGGAGGTGGCTCCCTAAAGGCAGAGCACGGCAGCAGGTCCGTGCAGCAGCCAGGCTGGCATCCACACATCCCTCGACCACGAGACCTCCCGCCGGCCTCTTTAGGGATCAGTGGACCCCAGACTCGTTTTGCTCTGTTTTTGCCCCCTTGCTAACCCTTGTTTGTTCCCGTGTAGCATCCCAAACGGAAGGTCAGCTGCCAGCCCAGCAGATGTCAATGACAAGTAACTATCCACGTGCCAGGTGCATGGTGGCGGGGCCGTGCTGAGGGACTAACGGGCTGCAGGCAGAGCCAGGCTAACGGGGCTGGGGGCGCATGTGGCCGCTGGGGCATGTCACCCCTGGGGACAGGGGGTGCCGCTTCTCATGGTGGCGGGGCAGGCAGCTCTGCTCCTGCTGGGCTCCTTTCCGCAGGGATAACTGGATGGGGCTCATGCTGTTGGCACAGGTGCAGGATGGCAGCAGCCTGGTGCTGACTGCACACAGCCCCCAAAGGTCAGGCAGGCTGGGTGCTGTTGGCAAACATCCCGGCATGTCCTTTGATGCCACTCCCCTGTCACAGCATGGCAGGGACTGGTCCCGGCTGGTCCCAGAGCTGGGGATGGCTGCCATCTCCTGGTGTCCGCCAGGCGTCCAGGCAGACCGAAACGGGATTAAAAACATGAAGCAAACGTCAGGCAGGCTTTGATGTAGCAAGTGTGAATCTGAGCACAGCAGCCAGCTGGGCTTTGTGTGACTCCAGCTCTTGAGTTTGGAAGATCCAGAGCATGACACTAGGGAAAGCCCCTGGCTCAGTGCTTGACAGTTTACGGGAATACACAGGGAAGTTTTAACTCTTCTGTTATGTTCTGTAGGCACAAATGTGCTGGGACTTGGAGCTGGTGAGTGTAAATGACTCACAGAGTCTACTACACATAAGCAATCTTGTTCCCTTCCACTCTTTGAGAAGCTTTATCTTCAGGTACTTCCTGGTGGAATACAGCTGTTTTATCTCTGTTTTAATTCCAGACTCCAGGTGTTTTCAGGCTTATAACTAAGCCGTCACACTAGTTAACATGCAGGAGAAAGGCTGCACCTTGTCCCACATCTACCCTTCATTACCAGTTAATATCAACTGTTTTTTAAAACTACTATCTTGAATCTAACATTCAAGGTAAATAGCAGTGTGGGTTGGGATGGGTGAGTTTTATTTACTGACACCTGGGACAGGAGAGGGCTGAGTGAGTGCGTGGCAGAGGAAGGAGCTTTGACCTGGGTGAAGGGAGCGCTGTCACAGATGGCATTCTGCCATGCCTGGCTGGGAAGGGGCACCCTGGGCTGCCGGCTGCTTGTTGGGTCCACACAGCTGCACCCCCAGATTTACACGCCAGCTGGATGCAGGGATCATCCAAGCACGTCCTACGAAGGCTGGTGGCAGCAGGAGCAGGGTCTGGGACCCCACACAGGCCCCTGCCCAGCAGTGCTGCTGCAGTGGGCAGCACTGGTGTGGTTCTGGCATTTTGCTCACCAGCTCCATCTCACAAGCAGAAGAGAGGAGCCAAGATAGTTATCTAACAAAGGCAGGAGGAGCAGACAGTGCCGCAGGGAGTGATTCTGAGTGAGCAGAAGGGCTTACCCTGTGTCCTCAGGTTGTGCTTCAAGCGAGAGAGGGCTAAAAGCAAGACCTCTTGCTTTATGGGGAGGTGCTCTGTGAGTGCATCTCACATCACCCCAGGGCTGCAGGAGGAGAAGGAATGGGTGACTCGTTTCCATGTATTGAAAATAGCGGGGCTGGGGGCACAGGCTCTGTTGTAGTTGCACACATGGAAAGGCATCATGAAAGCCCCATCTAAAGCTCTCTTCCCTTTCAGTTGCTGGTGGTATCTAAACTTTAGCTGGCACCTCTGTGGAGAGCACGCAAGGCTTAACTAACCCAGGGCAGCTCTGTGCTGGTGGGGCCTGCGTGGGCCCAGACAGCCCCTGACCCTCCGCCCAGCCTCGGCAGATGTTGGGCCCTGTCTGTGTCCCCCTGGGCTGCACCTGCCTGTCCTGACTGTGTATTGTTCTCTGCAGCCTGAAGGATGCAAACGACCTGCCAATCCAGTGTGAAATTTCTCCCCTTGTCTCGTATGGAGGAGAAGTGAGTACTGGCTCTGCAGAGCTCGGGGCCCTTGGGATGGGATGGGCCGGGCTGGCAGGGCACACGTGTGTGGGATAAGCCACAGAAGCTTACCCGTCACTGGGGAGCTGTTTGGGGCTGCCAGCACACGAGGGGGCAGGGGCAGTTCGGCAGCCAGGTGATGTGCAGGGTGTTCCTGACGAGCCACTCTCATCCCCCAGGGCCTGGAGCAGCTGGTGAAGGACCGAGAGTTCCGCACGCCTCTGATCATTGACGAGGACGGCATCCACGAGCTGGTGAAGAACGGGCTGTAGTGGTGCCCAGCCAGGGCTGCCCATGCCACCAGGAACTGGGGCACACCAAGTGGATAACTGGGCCTAGCAGGGACTGCTCCTGCTTGCTGTGGCCCTCTGCAGAGGAGGATTTGACCCACTCGGTTCTTGGCATGTTGTATGCTTCTATTTATATTTTAATTTAAAAACCAAACGCTACAGATTCCCCTGCCACAAAGCACAGCTGTGGTGCTGCCCTTTGCACTCCAGGCTGTGGGCATTTATTTTTAAACATGTGTATAGTAATAGTCATTGTACATGCAGAGAGGGGATTTTTATGATATGGGGCTGGGTTTAATCTAGAATTTTTATTTTTCTGAAATCTACATGACTATTTTTTTTTTAATAGGGTCCTTGCCATTGCCCATGTCCTCCCTTTTGGTCATCCTTTGTATATTGCACAACTGGAAGCACCCAATTAAACTCTTGAGTTCCTCCTGTTTGTCTTCTGTGTTTGAGTTTGAGTGTTTGAGTGACAATGACTTTGCACCAAGGGGCTCATGGAGTAGAGAGCCGACTGCATCATGCCAAGTGCTCTGCTCAGTGCAGCAAGGGTGGCTGGCTGGGGTGGCTGCAGACAGGGCCTCTAGCCTGCAGTGCTCCTTTGGGGTGTTCCTGGAGAAAGCAGAGAGTTGTACCCTCCTCTTATATTTCTGCAAACAGTGGGAAGCCTTGAGCAGGTAGGAACATCAGGTGTGTTGCACTGCTGGAGTGCTCAGGGTGAAATCAGCCTGGCACCGAGCCCTCCACCAGTGCCATGTGCCCTCTGCTTTTCCTGGAGGGGCTCTGGCTCCTGCGTGAGCCCACTGCCGAGGAGTGTGGTGTCCTGACTGCCTGGGGCACAGCAGCTGTTTGGGAAGAAGGATGGAGAGTTTGGCCAGCTCCTCTCCTGATCCTGATGTGGCCACGGCCCCTCACTGCCCCATGGCTGCCTGGGGAGGGATTTTCCCTTGCAGGCCTGGGAATGGGACCCAAACCACTCCCTATGGGGGATGTCACCCCGTGCCCCCCGGGTGCAAAGGTGGCTGCTGGGCACCCCAGGCTCAGCCAAGCACTTGGTTCCCCAGGCACTGTGCCAGGGCCACCAGGGCAGTGTGGGGGGTCCTGGCTGCTGCCGTCTCCTGCTGGCTCACCGCAGGCTGGCTGGGCTGTGCATGGCCAAGCCTTTGGCTTTTGGGCTTTGCAGACCACCACCTTTGCATTCGGTCCTGGGGCAGAGCGCCAGGGTGCAGGCTGCTGCCAAGCCATCTGAGCAGCACTTCCAGGTACCAGGAGGGGAGTGGAGCAGAGCTGGCTGGTGTTTGTGCCAGTGTGCACGTAGGGCAGCCTGTGCTTCTCCCTGCCAGCTGATCTGGGGCAGCACATGGGGCACTGCTCAGACCTGCTCCCTGCCAGCCCCGGGGAAGCTGTGCCCTGCCTCTGTCGCCCTGGGCAGTGCTGCAGCCCCTCTGTGGTGGCAGGGACAAGGATCACTGCTGGGGGCAGTGCCTGGCTTCCCCTGCCTGTGATTCAGTTGGTTTGTCTGGAGACTTCATGCTGCCAAAGAGGTTTAGGAGCAGGGCTACAGCCCTGGGGCTTTGGGGTGTCTTGTTGGACAGGAAAGCTTTTCCGGGAGTTGGTGGCCTGCTGCCAGGGGTGCTATTTCCTTCCCATAAAATAAAAAATAAAAGTCTAAACATTTTTTTGAAAAAGTTCTTTAATTGTGGTTTTTGATGCTGCACAAAAATTAATGTGAGCCCATTATTATTAGTATTAGTAATAGTAGCATTATTATTTTCTCCCTGCCTCGTTGCGTAGCCGGTGGCCACCGTGCCAGGCTAGTGCCTGGAAATGATGTCAAGCCGCCAGCTCTGCGCGGAGCTGGGGGAGCTGGAGCCCTGAGCCCGTGCCCTGGGCCGGGCTGGTCCTTTGGCTGCTGTCCGGGCCACATGTGCCCGTGCAGGAGTCCCAAATCATCCCCCCAGGGGCCCGGAGAGGGGTGGCCCAGCTCTGGGGTCTTGTGGAGGGTCCCCATCACGCACACTTTGGGGGTGTCCTCCCCAGCCCCACAGTGCAGGAGGAGGGTCCTGGACGCGTGCGCCATGCCACAGCCACGGGACAGGCACTGGAAAGTCAAACGTTGCCTATTGCTTTAAGTTCCCTTGCTGGCCACGGGCACTTTTTTATTTTTTTCTCTCGCGCTATGAATGGGTTTTGCTGTAAATTATAGCTCTGCGCACATTCCCTCGGGCCGAGGAAAATAACCTCTGCCGAAACGCCAGCCCGGATCGCTGACTGGCTCCCCTTCTCCGCTCCCTAATTGAAACCAAATGTGCGAGATGTAGGATTGTGGGATTTCTGGCCGGCTCCCAGGAATCCGCAGAATGCGAGCGAGCTCCCAGAGGCATCTTGCATCAGCCCGGGGAAAGTTCGCTCCTCACCTGGCTCCCCGGCCCGGGCGAGGGGCGCGGAGCCCGCCCGCCCTCCGGCGTTGCGGTGAGTCCCTCGGGGTCCCTCAGGGCTGTGTGGGGCTGTGGGACCCTCCCGGCCTGGCGCTGCGGCGGGACACGGCTCTGGCGGAGCCCCGGCACAGGGGCTGGGGTGTAGCTCTGCCCGGGAAGGGTCTGGGGCAGCAGCAGGGCATTGTCCTCACTCGGGGGGTGACAATTGCCCCCTTTTCTCCAGCTGACCCCACAGCGCCGGCGGTTCCCCCCGTGCCTCGTGCCAGGCCGGCGTTTCCTGGTGTCCCTCCTCAGCTCCCGCCTATGTGTCTGTTGGCAGGGCTGGCGGCAGCGCTGGTCAGCCAGGGAGGCCCTGCTGTCCCCAGGGTCCCCTAGCCAGGCGCCGGGTCACACTGGGAAGGGGAGCACACGGCCACTGTCCTGGTGCTCGTGAGCATCGTGCCCCCGTGCTGGTGCTGGGAGCCCACTCGTGGCTGCCAGCCCTGGGTGGAGCTGGGGCGATGCTGTGGAGCCCTGCTGGCGGCAGGGTGAGGGCTGGGAGCCGGGCTGGGAGCGCCTGGCTGCCAGGGGGCACTCGCAGGATGCAGCACCCGCAGGACGGAGTCCCGAGGTCCCCGGCCGTGCCCCTGGCAGCTCGGTGTCCCCAGGCTCCCGGCTGTGCCCCTGGCAGCTCGGTGTCCCCAGGCCCCCGGCCGTGCCCCTGGCAGCTCGGTGTCCCCAGGCCATGCCCCTGGCAGCTCGGTGTCCCCCGGCCGTGCCCCTGGCAGCTCGGTGTCCCCAGGCCATGCCCCTGGCAGCTCGGTGTCCCCCGGCCGTGCCCCTGGCAGCTCAGTGTCCCCGGGCCGTGGCCCTGGCAGATCGGTGTCCCCAGGTCCCCAGCCGTGCTCCGGGCAGGTCTCGCCAGGGCAGCTGGAGCCATGGGGATGTGCTGGCTGCTCCTCACACCCTGGACAGCTGCGGTGCCCCGGGCTGAGCCAGCGAGCCCGTGGCTGGGGAGGCGCTTGCTGCTGCAGGAAATGGGGCTGCATCCTGCCCAGAAAAAGTCTAAAATGGCATTTTTGGAAGGCAGGAGGACTACGGGTCCCGGCATGCTGCGCTGTGCTCCCGCCAAGGCTGCCGGCAGCACGGCATGCTGGGGGCTGTAGTGCCAGCTGGGGCAGGCATCCTGAACCCCCTTATCCAAACATCCTTGGGCCGGGCTCACAGCGAGCCTGTCATCACTCAGGGACATTCCCTGAGTGGCCTTGACCTGTCTCACGCAGCAGGAGGGCAGCCCCAGCGCCGTGTGAGGACTGGGGCTCTGCAACAGGAGCCGTGGAAGTCCTGGCAGACTGGACACACCAGACTTGTGTCCAGGACCTGGTGTGCACAAGGGGTGCAGGCTGCTGCCGTCCAGCCCCCTCCCCATGCATGATGCATCCTTCTGATGAAGCAAAGGTGGCAGTGCCCACCTGGGAAGCAAGCTGGGGCCCTCGCCCAGCTGGGGGCATCACTTGGAACAGCTGACAGCAAGAGGGACCATGGCTCCGGTGAGGGTACAAAAGCAAATTTAGTTTCTCCCCCAGTTATTACCCTTGGTTATTTCAGTGGAATAAGGAAGCAGGGAAATAAGGGAAAACAACAAACAAGCAGCAGCCAAGGGAAACTCAAAGCCCAGGCGATGCCAGGGAGGAGCTCCAAAAACTGTCTACACTAAAACTTTCCAGTGATTGAAAAATTTCAGCAAACATTTTCAGTCAAAACGTTGCAAAGCCATCCCTTTTGCAGGGCTGGTGGCACAAAACTGATTTCCAGCTGGGCTGCCAGTACTGCCCCTGTGCTCGACTGTGTGTCCCTTAGCCCTCAGCCTTGTGGCCTGAGTCACTGTCCCCTCACTGTCCCCCAGCCCCACACCCCTGAGGAGTAATGAGCACTTCCCAGTGGCTACGTGGGGATGATTTCCCTATACTAGGCTAAATGTAAATGCATTCCCTGCAGGACATTGCAGCATGTGGTATCCTGATGCTTTAAGAGTTTACTCAGCCTGAAAGAATAGTGGGAAAAATATCCCTGGATATTTTTTGGAATGCAGAAGGAAATTAAGATTTTAATGTTGGTGGGGAAGTGGCCGTCATCAAACGCAGGAGCCTCTTGTGTGTGCCTCTGGGCAATGCAGCCGAAATTCCCAGTTGCAGCTGAGTTAGTTGCAACTAGCAACAGTTTCCCAGCTGGGAATAGGGGGAAAAAAAAGCAACTACATATTGTGCTTAAAAAAAAAAAAACACAAAAAAAAAAAAGGGAAAGAAAGGAAAGTTAGAAAAAAGGGGGGGAAATCATCCCAAGTGGAGGTGTTTACTTGTGCCTCCTGCAGAGATTTGGTGCTTGGCAGAGTCCCCCAGGAATCCAGCAGGGCACTGTGGGGTGCAGAGAGCTCCTTGCAGAGGGCAGGTGGCAGCTCCTGGGGTTTTGCTGTCCCTTTGGCGCTGGTGTGGCCACAGCAAGCTCCGCTCTCGCTCCTGCCATGCCAAGCCCCAGCTGTGGCAGCGCCCAGGGCCATGCCCAGCGCC